ATCTTCGACCAGTCACGGATATTTCGCCTTTCCGTTATTATGTTATCTTCGATCTTGCTCGATACCTGTCTCATTTGGTCTCGATCACTGTTGTCCTCGATCTCGACAAGTACCTCGAATCCCGAACTCGGTACCTTGTCCTCGTACCTTGGTCTGATCCACTACGGGACCGACCTTCGATGCAGCTCCCTGGTCCCGGTCAAATAGAAAAATTGGGTGTGCTCGATTTTAACCGTATACAATGTTTATTTCAACGGTTAATTAGTACATAGCTAAGTTTGTGTTATATCCCATATTCTAAACCTAATTCCCTATCCTTTATTGCTTTCTATGCCAATTTCATGGTGCTCCTGTGGAATTGACTAATTCATAACCAATTCCCTTGAGCTTCATGTGTTGGCAGTGATTATTGATGAAGCTTTGACTTGGTAGTTACCTAGTCAAGGTAGTGTTGAGACTTCATAGCTCAGGTTCAATTCTATCCATAAGTCATTTGACCCATCTCTCACGCAATAGGATTAAAGGGTTAGACAAAATTTTCTCCTAACTGAAAATACTTTTCTAAGTTACCAGTTCTTTTGTTCTTCATTTCTAAGGGGGAAAATTAGACACCAGGTGATAGATATTCAGATCGAGAAACCAAACAAGACTATGCACATATAACGCATCAATTATCCTTGTTGCACAACGTCCACAGAGAATCTGATGGACACAAATCAAGTATATCAAAGCATTACTAGCAGTTGAAACAGACTACCAATACAAAACACAACAAATAGGAAGACAGAACCGCTATTTAACTTTAATCTGCAACAAGGCCACAACTAAAACAAGGCCTGAGTGTATGTCCTAAATGCATACTTCAACATGCAATGAAGTACAAGAACTTTTTCCTCCTTATTATTGCTCTAAAAGCTACAAGTTTTACACCACCTCCAAATATTAAGCTGCACAAAATTGAGGGAATATACATTTCATGGAAAAAACATGTGCTATCAAGGCTTGGGCACGCTTCTCGCTAGGAGAAGCTCAACTTCTAAAAGGAACATTCTCCGTGACCACTGTGCATAAGTGAGAAAGCAGAGGAAGATGCTCTTATCCATGCCACGACTCTGAGACTCTTTCCAGTGATGAACAATTTTTTCAGCACTTACAAAGCAAGAGCGCAAAGACTCACCGTTGTTGGAGAAAGTCTCACCGACAAATATACTGATAAAAGAGGATTAACTCTCTTAGTATGACATAGGAAGAAAAAGAAATTTTTGAAAAGTGAGATAGGAAAAGATACGAACAATAACTACTGTAGTTTTTATCATATTGTCTGACATGATAAATCACTGTGGTTCTTCACAGCACCACCTGTAGGAAGGCCCACGACTTTTGTACCGAGATCATATGTTGACAACACATTTTTCTGCACAAAAATGGCAAGAGAAAGAGTGCATTATGAAAGATTTATAAGGTAGAGAATGTAAATGGTGTAAACTGCACAATTCATTCAGAAAAAAGGTCCATGACTATGCTCCGCCATTCACGTTAAAGTAATCACAAACTTGAAATAGATTCTGTGAAGGAACCTCTAGAAAAAAGTTAGGGACCAAATCAGTTTTCTACGGCTCCTGGTATTCAGCCAAATGATGCCGATTGAGGAGATGAAAAGAGGTATATCCTTTGGCCTAACTAGATTGCAAAATTTAACAAATTTGTGAATCATTTACAATCTCATGGACCTCAGATGTCAAGGCCACTGGTTCTCCCTGAAGTCATCGTTATCCATCTTTCTACAGTAATCTTTCATCATCAATCTCTCTTGTTGAACATCAGGTTGAAAACAATATCCTTTTGAGCCTTTTCTCTTTTGAAGTATGTGGACAGAGCATACTGATTTTCAAAACATAGAGAGGTGCATGGAACTTGCGCTCAGTTTCTATTTGAACGAGGATTAGTACATAAACCAAAAATGCTAAGAGTTCAAGTATAGTTTCTCTGGGAGTACGACTAAAAAGAAAAGCAGAATTCTTACTAAGCTTACTGTACCCTGGAATCAAAAGCATCATCACTTCCTTGAGAGTTGAAAAAGAAAACGATTGAGGAATATCTCCAATAGGAAATTTTCTGGAATAGATGAAATATATTTCTCGAAGTATTCCAAATGCACCATGGTACAACATTTCTTTTTAAATGAAGCACATTCTTTCATTGATACAGAGGGGGAGGAGGAGGGCAATGGGGAAAAGGGGGGAGGGTATAGTGCTTCTACGCTTTGAAGCCTCCACCTACATCTTGGAGGTAAGCATGTTCACCAAGTGAGCTGGCCCTCAACCCCAATATCGCTATAGGATTGTTTCGGCTACAAAACTAGATTATAGAGAAAGAATTTACAAGTACTACGCAATACGCTGCGATTCATTTATCAAAAGCTTTCCATCCATTTGTACTACCTCCACTACTTCTTTCAGTTGCTAAATAGCTGTAGAACAGCAATAAGATACTTGCGCAAAAGTCAGAATCCAAATCAAACTTTGTTTATGGGAAGATAAAAATCTTTAGCCTCTCTAATTTAATAGGAGGCAGCCTAATAATTCAATGTTGAAAACTAGTGGACAATGGTGCAAAGCCAGATTGCTGTAGAATCATGTGAAGGGAAAATTTGAAAGTTCTCTCACAGCCAAGGTAACTGGTGCTGACGCATAAATTTAGTATTGGATACAAGCTGAAAGATAATGACAGCAATTTCCTTATAAGACCAATGCTTTTGCCTAAGTTAATAAGGCTGTGAAATGCATATAGGGACTCAACAACCCAGGACCCAATGAATTTCAAGCGCTTTTACTAGCATTAAGAAGGCTGTGAACAAATCAATATAATGTAACAGTGAATGATATATTCAGGTTTGGGACTTGTAAACCAGGAAGTGAACTGAGGCATGATAGCCGCCTTATTGGACAAGTAATATGGTTAACACCTAAGCAAGACCAAAGGAGACAACTGGCTGAGATATACTCTATTCTTGTCTTGCCTTTCCAATCACAAATTAAAGTATTAAACACTGAATTCAATATTGAACAGGGTAGACCTGTTCATTTCCGCTTTATGAAAAAGCAATAAAGCGTCTCATCTTCATGTAAAAGCTTGCCTTTAGAGGAAACAATAAATCCAGCATAAAAAGTAGCTATTCAGCACATAGTGAAGGAGCACACTCACAATTGGCTCAAAGTCAGGGCTAGACAAGTTCATTGTAAGATTTCGCATCAACAACAAAACCTGCAAGTCCAGAGGAAACAGATGAACATGATTTGCAAATCCACCAATATAGATTTCTTCAAGGCAAGATAGAAGATATTGAAATAGGGAAGGTGAGAGGGGAAAGGAGACCCAGATGAAATTTACATGACCCCCATCTAAAACTCCCCAGCTGAAACTTTCAAATCCCTGCGAGTGCAGATAAATGCAGTGTCTTGACATATGCCTCTAGATTTTGAAACGAATATCTGGTTGAACATAATTGACGTAAAAACTTTCCTAACGAGAATTTACATGTATTCTTCAGAGAGATCAACATTTTTTTTACTTCTCTCAGCTCCTTTAGAAAAGGGTTTATATTGAAAAAAATGAAGTTGATCCTAACTAAATTCTCTGACGATCTTACCCTTTGGCATTTGTTCCCTCTATTGCTTGAAGGTGAGTTAAATTAACGAGTTCTACCAAATAATAACTAGGGAATACAGAAAATGGAATCAAGTAACACAGAAAAAAATAACATTACAAACTTAGCCTAGCATAAACACTGAAATAAACCTGACTCAGTAAGTTACAGTTAGCTGCAAGAAAGCTGAAGAGTTCTTAGGAAGCAGAAGCAAATGTAAAATGCTTAATTTACCATGCATCCAAAACTCACAGTTTCAAAATTAATAGGGTCCATCTCCTTCAGCTTCTGTACATGACCTTTAGTGTCTGGGTCAAAGACACTC